TTTTTTGTAACTGGGGAAGTTTGCTTTGTTACCGAGTATGTGGTCAATTTTTGAGAAGGTTCCATGAGCTGCAGAGAAGAAGGTATATTCTTTCCTATTTGGGTGAAATGTTCTATAGATGTCTGTTAAGTCCATTTGATTCATTACCTCCATTAATTCTCTTATTTCTCTGTTAGGTTTCTGTCTGATTGACCTGTCCATTGGTGCATTGGTGAGAGAGGGGTGTTGAAGTCTCCTACTATTAGTGTGTGCGGTTTAAGAGTCTAAAATATAGACTGTTAAAATGTATATTATCAATTGTTCATATTGATGGATCAGTTTTAAGCTATAAAACCATTCATTTTAGTTACTGAGAGTATCATTATTTTTTCCATATGCAATAGCTTTGGAAGCTTTAGGAGAAAGTTCTGCTGAAGGGTGTGCTCAGTTTGTTCATAAACGCTGATCCACAATGGAGCCACACTTCATGCTCCCTCATCACAACTTCCTTGTCTCTGAAGTGTGTAAAATGAGATAGGAGCCAGCACTGTGTCTCTCTGGGATGTTGCACTGGGCTGCAGGAGACATGCCTTTCTCTGTGGGTAGTGGGAAAACTGGGAATTTGCTTGCTTTGGAGATTTGAAATAAAATATTGGGTAACTCTGCATAAACACCTGCATCCCAGAAGAGGGAATCAGATCCTCTATCAGATCACAACAGATGGTTATGACCAGCATGTAGTTGTTAGTGACTGCAGGGCAGCCCCTCTGGAAAAAAAAAGCTGCTAGTGCTCCCAACTGCTGAGCCATCTATAGGATCTCCATGGCTTGAGGCAACAGCAGGATATCCAAGAGGAGTTTTGGTGAGGGTCTGGTGATGATGTTGTGCCAGAGGCCTTGAACCAGACCAGTAACTCATTGCAATCAGTGCGTGGGGTTGATTGGGCACAAGGGTACACTGTGTGACACCCAGCAGCTCCTGAAGCCATTAGGATGAATGAAGAGATGTTGGAAAGAAAGAGGAGTGAGGTGGGTTTTTTGTTTGTTTTGTTTTGTTTTTAATTAATTTTGGGGGGATCGTGCTACGGGCAGATACAGAGGGACTGGGAGGTGAGTGGAGTTGGGGGTACATGATATAAAGTTCCCAAAGAATGAATAAAGAGTTATGTTAAAATAAAACAAAGAAACATGGGGTAGCTTCAAAGCCACAGTGAAAACTTAGTCTTTGTTGTAACGAAATAATCTGTTGACTCTTAAACAAGAGAAATGTATCTCTCCCAGTTCTGAGAGGCCCAAGATCAATGTGTTGGTAGATTCTGTTTAGCTGTGGTGGTGATGGGGTCTAATTTCTGGTTCATACAATGGGACCACCTCACTGTCTCCCCCTGCTGGAAGTTTGTTATAAAGCATTTTTCTCATTCTCTTGGACCTAATGACCTCCCAAAGGCGTCTCACTTTCTTCAAACTGTCACCTTTGGGGGCTGGGCTGGGGGTGGGGCAATAAACATTTAGACCACAGCAAATCATAGATGATCCCAGCAGTTCACTCTTAACCTGAAAAAGGAAAGTAATCCTTTACCCTACACAAACCTTATAAAATCATTGTATGTCAATGATTTTATTGTATGATCAAGCTGTTATTGCAGGAGAGCAGATTTGCAATTTCTGTTAGTTGAGGCACGAGTGGACAGCAATGCACACTGACAGCCTTTGTCACCTCCTTTGACTAGAATATGGCTACAGCACGGTGGCTGTGACAATCCTGACGTTGGGCTCGATGCTTGGGACGGCGCTGGTCCTTTTTCACAGCTGCGAGGAGAACTACGGCCTTGTTCTACAGCTGTTCGTGGGCTTGGCTGTGGGCACCCTCTCTGGGGATGCCCTGCTCCACCTCATCCCTCAGGTAATCTTCTCCTTTCTGCCACAGATGGGTGCTGTCTGGTTTTTCTTTCCATTCCACAACTTGAGATATTTACGCAAATTTTTGGTGTCAACCTCAGTGAACAAATACAATGGCTGGTGTTTTTCTTGGAAAGAACACCTCTTGCCCAGAGTGACTTTGCACCCACGGAAGAGAAGAGAGAGACAAGCATATGTTGAGCCAGCCCATTGTCTTTGTTTTTGAAATGAAGGTGGTCAGGTTATTAGTTTGGATTAAGAAAGACTCAGGAAGCAACTATCACAGGCAGGACACACACACACGCACACACACACATGCACACACACGCACACATGCACGAGCACACAGTCTACAAGAGCGATGCTGGCTTTCTCAGATCCTTCCTTCTACCTCATGGATCAGATCCGTTTTCCTCTGCTCTTGGGTTCTGACACAAAGCTTGTTTCTTCTCAGATTTTTTTTTCTGTTGGATTTTTGCTTAGTTTCTGCCAAGGGGAAGCACCAGGGGAAAATCAGGAATGAAGAAAGAGGGGCAGTAGCTTTTCTCCCAGCTTGGTCCTGACTCTGGCTCTCACAGCTGCTTCAAAAGTAGCGGATATACCGTCAGGTTGTATCTGGAGGTTTCCTCCATAGCATTTTCTCTCTTGAGGTTTCAGCAATGTCATTTCATATCTTTGCCTCATTAGAGCTATGATGAAAATGGGTTCTTGGATGGTGGTTATCTGGGTCCCTTGTTCCTTGGCCCTGCATGAATCTCTGCCATAGTGTCATCATTAGCACCATTGTCTTTGTGATTGAGTCCCCAGAATAGACTTCTCTGTAATAAAGGTGTTTGGATTTCTTCTTCTTCTTCTTCTTCTTCTTCTTCTTCTTCTTCTTCTTCTTCTTCTTCTTCTTCTTCTTCTTCTTCTTCTTCTTCTTCTGCTTCTGCTTCTGCTTCTGCTTCTGCTTCTGCTTCTGCTTCTGCTTCTTCTGCTTCTTCTTCTGCTTCTTCTTCTTCTTCTTCTTCTTCTTCTTCTTCTTCTTCTTCTTCTTCTTCTTCTTCTTCTTCTTCTTCTTCTTCTTCTTCCTCCTCCTCCTCCTCCTCCTCCTTCTCCTCTTCCTCTTCCTTCTCCTCCTCTTTCTTCTTTTTCTTCTTCTCCTCCTCCTTCTTCTCTTTCTGTCTCTCTCTCCCTTTCTCTCCCTCTGGTGTGTGTGTGTGTGTGTGTGTATGTGTGTACATACTTGTGTGTGCATGCACCTACATTACCTACATGTATGAGTATGCATGCTTGTGTTTGGGAATGACTGTGGTTGCTAGATATTACTACCAGTGATTACTACCAGTGTCTTCCTCAGCCAGTCCTTACCTCACTGTTTGAGGCAGGATCTCTCAGAGAACCTGGAGCTCACCATTTGGTCACACTGGCTGGCTGCTAAGTTTCAGATATCCCCCTGCCTCAGCTGTCCCAGGCCTGAGATACATGCTGTGACACTCAGCTTTTCATGTGAGTGCTAGAGATCTGAGGTCGGGCCCTTGCTTTTGTGAGATGAATCCTTTACTGACAGCCCCTGGAATTCTTTCCTTAAGAAGTCAGAAGCAGCAGGCACATGGCTGTCTGTTGAAGTCTTCTGAGGCTTCTTTCTTTATGAGAAATGAAAGGACAATGACTTGAGATGGGACCCAGGTGAGGCAGGAGGCACTGCAAAGGAAGTTGGCTGTTTGTTCTTAATAGAAATGATGATGGCATACTAATGATCATGCCTCCTGAGAAGTAGGAAATGGTAAAAAAAAATTCCACAAGCTGCCGGCAATTTCCTCGGGATCACTGCTGTTGCTTAGAGATTCAACAATTATTTGATATTAAAAAATTGCAAAGTGAGCATTGGAGAAATTAAACAAGCCCCTATTGGTTTTAATTTCCCTCATAATCTAATTTTCTGGAACTATTTCAAGACTCGTGTGTTGGCTCTAGGCAATGGCCACAGCCGTTTTCTAGGTCACTGCAGCAGATATAGAGATGTTTGTTGCCTGGGATCCTGGGAAACAGCAGGAGGTTGCCTGGGTTTCCTCCAAGGAGTAGTGCACAGCTGGGGAGCAAGCCTGGACTTGGGGTGCATAGGAAATCCTGCATATCTGTGCAAAAGAGTTAGCTTGTATCTATGACATTTGAAGGCACAGTTTTGCCTTGAGGAAAGAAATGAGGGCAGAGTTACTGGAAAGAGAATCTAGTGTAAAATGTGATGGAGAGCTAGAGAAATCTGTGGTCCCTGGATGCGATCTGCATTTTCAACCGTCTTTACTCAAGTTAGAAAATACCACTGCTTGATTGACTTTAAAACTGATGAATTTGTTCACCGTGAAGATCTATAGTTTCACCTGAGATTGTGTTGTTCTTTTATTTACTTTTATGATCCTCCTCACCTTATGAAATGTTGATCATATGAGTATGATACATACATCAATGTTCTTACCAAACAAGTCAGTACAAGGAGACCAGCATATTCTGGTTTTTAGTTGTAACTACACATATGTGCTTACATAGGTATGCATGGTATCCACTGGGGATTGGTTCTAGGACTCCTGAGGATACAAAAGCCCACACACATTCAAGTCCCTTTGTAAAAAAATTGTATAGAACTTGCATAAATCCTATGTATAGCTTGTTACTTTAAATCATTTAGATCCCTTACAATATGTAAAATATCTGCAATACTATAGTACTCAGAGAATAATATAGTGAGGACAAATTCAGTTAATTTTTCCCAAGTATTTTCGTTCTGTATTTGGTAGATATATATCCCAAGACTATATTACATAAACATAAATCATCTATATGCATTTATTTTTCCTTATTTGGCTCAGAAATATCCTACTTTTACAAACCATTGAGCTATTTCACAAATTGATATCTTTTGGGAAAGGAATGTACTAGGCAATAATTATAAGCAGTCATAAAGGCAGTCAGGGATTGAGAGGATGGGATGAGTGAGTTAACTAGAGGGACGCTCACAATGCCCTTCAGAAAGCTGATAGCACTCCTGGTCACACTATAAGTGCAATTTCTCAGGCAATTCTCTGTTCCTCAGCAGGCTCCCAAATAACTACAGACTTTTTATTAATTATAACTGCTTGGTCGATAGCTTAGGCTTGTTTTTAGCTGGGTTTTATAACTTAAATTAACCTATTTCTATTAATCTATATGCTGCCCTGAGGCTCGTTTACCTCATCTGCATACTGTCCATTGTCTTGCTTGCTCTGTGGCTTATGGTGTCTCCCTCAAGTCTCCATCTTCTTCTCCCCAGCATTCTCTCTGCCCTGAAAATCCTGCCTAGCTACTGACAGTTTTTTTTAATTAAGCCAACCACAGTGACATATATTCACACAGTATAAAGGACTATTCCACACATACACAACATATACTCCGTGATGTGTTGACTTTCAGGTAGATTTTTCTATTCAGGTAGAATAGAATTAAGTTTAATTGTAGTGGAGTATTAGAACACATTGACATTGAGTACACCTTGCATGTGTTCCATGCAAAAAGCATACAGACATCTTATGAAACATTATTAAACACACACACACAGAGGAAAAAATAACGACAACTTGAAATTTGCAGGCAAATGGATGAATCTAGAAAACATCATGTTGAGTAAGGTAACCAAGACCCAGAAAGACAAATATCATCTTTACTCACTAATAAGTGACTTTTAGACATAAATCAAAGAAAAAACAGCCTACAAATCACAATCCCAGAAAACGTAGACAACAAAGAGGACCCTAAGAGAGACATACATGGATCTAATCTACATGGGAAGTAGAAAAAGAGAAGATCTCCTGAGTAAATTGGGAGCATGGGGACCATGGAAGAGGGTTGAAGGCAAGGGGAGAAGAAGAGAGAAGAGGGGAGTGGAGAAAAATATATGGCTCAATAAAAAGAATTAAAAATGCATTATTAATAGTAAAGTATAATGATTAAAAAACAGAAATGAACACATTGGAATTGAACAAAGAAAACAGAAGAAAAAGAACTAAAGAGAAGGCACAAGAAACAGACCTAATCATTTGTATACTTGGGAATCCCATAAAAACACTAAACTGGAAGCCAAATATGCAAAATAATGTAGGGTAAAAAGAGAGAGAGGCAAATAAAAATAATAAGATAAAATTATATAAAACATGACATTATAAGACAAGTAACCTCAAAATGCCATTGAGTTCATTTTCAACTGGCAATCTATTGCTAGGCATGTAGTCTTCTCTTAAGTGCAGTTTGCTTCTCCAGTGAGACATCCTTGGAGGAAACTAAATTTTTATTTGCAAGTGGTTATCATTTGGAGAAGCTTCTGGGTTGGGCCATGTGACCTCTTCTCCATTCAGCTCTAGGAACCCGAATGGTACAGACCCGAGCAAACCCTGTGCATCTGCTGCAGTCTCTGTGAGTTCATATGACAGTGATCACGATGATTTAGAGGGCTTTGTTTTCTAGGTGTCCTCCATACCTTCTCCTAGCTCTTACACCCCTTCTGTCTCCTCTTCCAGAGGGTTTCCTGAACCTTGAGGGGGTGGAATTTTTATGGAGACATCCAATTTAAAGCTCAGTGTTCTGAGGTCCCTCACTGCATAATGTCTGGCCATGGGTCTCTGCATTTGTTCCCATCTGCTTCAGGTGGGAGCTTCTCTGATGATGGCTGAGTAGGGTTACTGATCTATGATATAGCACGTCAGTAGGAGTCAGTTTATTGCTACTCTTTTTCTCTTTTTTTTCAGAACAATAGTATTTGATTTTACCCAAGGTCAATCCTGGGCTACCTAGTGTCAGGTTCTTGCTCACACAAGACTGTTGGGTGTGGGTTCCAGCTTAGGGAGTGAGTGAGCCTTCTGTCAAATCAGATGGTGGTTGGTTCATCTCACACGATTTGTGCCACCGCTGTTCTAGCATATCTTCCAGACAGAACATCATTGTAGATCAAAGCATTTGGGGCTGGTTTGATGTTTACATTTCTCTCTTGTGGCATGG